TGAGCCACCGCGCCCGGCCCCAAATTGTTTCTTGAAGTACCTAGGTGTGTAAGTTCCTGGGCTCTTCTGACTTGGTTTTGTCAAGGTCTGCCACAGCATAGCTGATAAAACTTGATAAGCTCTATCTACTTCATGGAAAAGATCCATTTCTTAATGCTTGGGGTTTGTGTGTGTGTGTTTTGGTAGATGTGTATGTGTGTTGGTTTCTTGCCATGAAGACACATTTTTAAGTCTTAATTTTGCTTCGTCAAGGTTTTAGTAGTTTTTAAAAATGTGAATCTGCCATCCTCACACACCGTTTTGATAGGGATTCTGTCATCATGAAAGGAAGGAGACAATTAGTCGTTTTGATTCCATATATAGTTGTCTCACAGATACTTTGTTCTTCTCACTTCTCTAAGGTCTCCTTATCTTCTCTGATGTCCCGGGTCCCCTCATTTCCTTTCTGTTCTTTGGAGTGGTGAAAGGTAGATTTTCTTTCATCTGACTTAGTGGGGATTTTCCAGTATATCAATTAGGTAATATTTGTTAACTGTGGAGTAAGGATGTTTTATCCGTTTGAAATTATTGGCCCAGTGCATAGGACCAACTAGTCTTTCAGTTCAAATGTCTGAAATTGAAAATTTTTTGAGTGGCTCCAAAAAAATTCTTATATAATCATAATTTTTTGTTTGTTTGTTTGCTTTTTTTGTTTTTGAGGCAGGGTCCCACTCTGTTGCCTGGGCTAGAGTGCAGTGGTGTCATCATATCTCACTGCAGTCTCAAACTCCTGGGCTCAGATGATCTTCCTGCCACAGCCTCCAGAGTAGCTGGGACTACAGGTGCATGCTATCATGCCTGGCTAATTTTTCTATTTTTTGTATAGATGGGGTCTTGCTCTGTTGCTCAGGCTAGTCTCAAACTCCTGGCATCAAGCAGTCCTCCCACCTCGGCCTCCCAAAGTGTTAGGACTACAGGCATGAGCCACCATGCCCAGCCCATATTCATAATTAACATTTAATTAAATGCTATAAAATGTAACAAATGTAATAAAATGTAACAACTAGGAATGGTAACACAGTTATCTATATATTATAGTCCAATGGGATGTAGATGCATTTCAATATTGATACGAGGGCAGACCAATATCTTGAAGTGACCCTGTACTGAACAAGGTGCTGGTAGAACAAAAAGAGATAATCCAGCCGTGACCTCTGACAGGACAATCTGAGCTTCTTCCCTTTGCCATCTCTCCCCTGCCCTGCCCCCTCTTCCTGTTAGGTATTTCCTGAGTGGTTTCATTATTTAGTATAGTCATAGTTTAACAGCACAAAAAGTCTTAGAAATTATCTACCTTATTCCCCGTGCCAATTTTATAAATGAGAAAATAAAGGTTTAGTCGACACCCTCAAAATCACACGGCTGATAATAGCAGATCCTCTAGTGAAATCCCAAATCCAAGTCTGTGTCACTTTTCACAATTGAGCTGCTGCTATTTGTGATTGATATGATCATCTCAATAAATTCAAGTCACCACCTTTTCCAGGAAGGAATTAGATTTTGCACATATGTCTTTATGTGAGGAAAGTTAAGACATTTTCACTTTGGTTAGCCAAGTCTGTTCAGGGAAATAGTAAATGTTAATATAATGACTCAGAGTCCTATTGGAGTTTATGCTGAGATAACTCTCAGCACAGAGCTGTCCTTTGCCCTTTCTTTCTGTGTGTGT